GAATGTTTACATGCGGTGTGTCTGTGTGTGTAAACACAGGGCATGTTTACATGTGGTGTGTGTGTGTAAACGCAGGGAATGTTTACATGCGGTGTGTCTGTGTGTGTAAACGCAGGGAATGTTTACATGCGGTGTGTCTGTGTGTGTAAACGCAGGGAATGTTTACATGCGGTGTGTCTGTGTGTGTAAACGCAGGGAATGTTTACATGCGGTGTGTCTGGGTGTGTAAACGCAGGGAATGTTTACATGTGGTGTGTGTGTAAACGCAGGGAATGTTTACATGTGGTGTGTGTGTGTGTAAACGCAGGGAATGTTTACATGTGGTGTGTGTGTGTTTTTCCTGGGATATGGGCACTTGGCACGGCACTTTGTTTGCCTAGTACTTTTTTTGTTTAGTATGTTGCTATGATTCTCTTCTATCTATTTCCTGCTCCTATCTCTGTCTAGTTAGTTTACCAGGGAGAGAGGCTATTTAATTTATTTACCTCTACTGCCACATTTCCCTTGTAGCTGGTTCATTGATTCTTCACACTCTACCCTTTATCTACTAACTTTTTTACAGTCTATATCCTCCGAGTTACTCTACTTGATATCCCCAGAGAGCACTACAAGCTTTCACACTGAGTGCTTCCCGAGAGGAGCATGGTTGGTGTATGAAGATTTACACCCTATAGACGTATGAGATACACCCTATAAGGAGGAATCTTGAGTATATAACATGAAATAGATCATCAGGGGAAAGTTCTCATATATTAAGAGCCATATTTAATAAAGCACACACACAAATATTTGAAACAATACCTGTGCATAACGACTGGTTTGTTATATACTTTTATGTAAATAGGAGCATATCTTATTAGACTACTACTAAGCTTTTATTATTTAATATATGTTCACCTGACTTTAGGTATTTTGTATACATACTTTGTTCTCTGTACTATCAATATCAATTTCACTACATATATTTCCAGGTGATACAGTGATTCATAAACACTTCAGGTGCTGTGATCACATGTATCTGTTTGTTCTTTTTCTGCATAAGCAGGGAATGCTTACAAATGGTGTGCTAACACACTTGGTTTTTTGCAGATTGATTAAGAGCATGGAGCTGTAACCCACTAGTTCTGACCAGAACAACGCAGCAGAGGCACAGTTTTGTGCGGGTGGACTCCCTATTGTATATCAGGGTTCTTTATTGTGTATCGGAGTTCAAGCCCCACGTGTTGTGTAAGAGCTGGTTGTGTTTTCCAAATGTGTTCGCCAAAGAAAAGTTAATATTTTGAGCCCTCTGGGTAACCATGTCTGAAGCCCATGAAATTTTACAATAATTACAGTTACAACATAAAATGAGACATTGTAGAGTTTGAAAAACATACCCCATTTTCAAGGCGTTTCTCCCCAGTCACCCCATTTCGCTGATTTGTTGTCTGACGAGCACCTGGGGAAGAATTATATTAATTAAAACATTTTAACGTCAGATAATTATATTTCTCAAGCAAAAATATATGTTTAGTTACAGTTTGCATCAAAAAAAGTCCATGAAAATGGAATCACTTATCTGAGCAGTCAGCTGATCGATAACATTGCAGGCAGGCAAAAGATTCAGTGACACAATGGGGGTTATTCAGTAAGCAACAAACTTAAGTGAAATAAAAATAGGAATGTAAAAATTAAAGGGTTACACCAACCACCATGACCACTTCAGTGACTTTACGATTTCATGTTGGCAGCAGTATGTACCGTGTTTCCCCGAAAATAAACCCTACCCCGAAAATAAGCCCTAGTCGGATTTTCGGGGTGGGCTGCAATATAAGCCCTACCCCGAAAATAAGACCTAGGCATTTTACCTTTTCGGCGAGACTTCCTTCTTCTACTGTAGGAGGAGCGTTGCGGGCCGCGGCATCGCGCAACGTGATGACGACATTTTGCAGCGCCGTCAGTCTGCCTTCACGGATCTTCAGCGGAAGGATCCATTTCCAGGCGGTGAGGCTCCCAGTGGTCGGACTCGGCAAGGAAACTTTGAAATGTGAGTACCGGTAGATATTTTATGTCTGGGACTGAATTAATTAAAGGGGGCGGGGGGTGAATTAATTAAAGGGGGGGTGAATTAAAGGGTGGGCTGGATTAATTAGAGGGGGGTGAATTAATTAAAGGGGGGGTGAATTAATTAAGGGGAGGTGAATTAATTAGAGGGGGCTGGATTAATTAGAGGGGGTGAATTAATTAAAGGGGTGGTGAATTAATTAAAGGGTGGGCTGGATTAATTAGAGGGGGGTGAATTAATTAAAGAGGGGTGAATTAATTAAAGAGGGGTGAATTAATTAAAGGGTGGACTGGATTAATTAGAGGGGGGTGAATTAATTAAAGGGGGGTGAATTAATTAAAGGGTGGGCTGGATTAATTAGAGGGGGTGAATTAATTAAAGGGGTGGTGAATTAATTAAAGGGTGGGCTGGATTAATTAGAGGGGGGTGAATTAATTAAAGGGGTGGTGAATTAATTAAAGGGTGGGCTGGATTAATTAGAGGGGGTGAATTAATTAAAGGGGTGGTGAATTAATTAAAGGGTGGGCTGGATTAATTAGCAAAAGGGGGTGAATTAAAGGGGTGGTGAATTAATTAAAGGGTGGGCTGGATTAATTAGAGTGGGTGAATTAATTAAAGGGGTGAAAATTAATTAAAGGGTGGGCTGGATTAATTAGAGGGGGTGGATTAATTAGAGGGGGGTGGATTAATTAAAGGGGGGGTTCAATGTACATACCGGTACCGTAAATAAATAAGCCCTACCCTGAAAATAAGCCCTAGTGTGTTTTTTGTGACTAAAATTAATATAAGACCCGGTCTTATTTTCGGAGAAACACGGTATGTGCAGTGTTTCTGCTTGGTACAATGCACACACAGATATTTTTAATTGCGTGCTGGGGGCTAGTTACACACCCAGCACACGTGACATTAGCAGCGCCGAACTTTGTTCCCCTCTGCCAATGTCAATTCTGTGCATATTCTGCGACTTCTTGTTAGCGTGCACTTTCAGTATTAAAAAAAAAAAAAAAAAATTCTAAACCCTTCCTTCCTCTCTACTTCCTCCCTTACCTGGCCCGCCCAGAGCGCGTATACACTCTATGAGAAGCTTGTGATTGGACCGCGCAGCGCCTGTATTTGCACCTGGAGCTCGGTTCCAGGTAAGTAAAATGATTTTATTTGCAAGTTGGAGAGTGGGCATTTAATACCAGACAGGCCCCCTCTAAAAGGGTTGGAGTAACACTTTAAGCAAAGAGAGGATTTAGAAAAACTATTTTAACTCTGATGTAGTCATAGCTTGGATATTGTGGTCTACATCTTACAATTGGCTTTATATTTCACTACTGTGTATAGTAAATAAACCTCAAAAGAA